CCATGAGCACACCACAAAAATATCATGTTCTTAAACTGTATTTATATTTTCCTTCCAGTAGAAATATGTAAACATCCCAAAACCAGGGTAAATTAGAAGCAAACGAGCATAGATATTTTTTTTTTTAGTTCAGTGGTAACCTTTAAACTATACTGAAAACAATAAGTGTCTAAATAAATAAATACAATGAAACCTAGTCTTAACAGCAACAGCTTCACTTATTTATTTTTTTAATGATATATTACTCTATTTTCAACATTTAGCATATATTTGTAGAGGACTGATAGTTAAATGAAAGATTATTCAGATTGTTTTGAGTCAGGTGGTTGCTGTGCACTGGTACCATGGGAACTGTGGGTGTCAGCAGAGGTACATTGAGGCTGTTCCAAAACAGACTTGCTTGAAAAAACATTTGACACCGTTGAAAAAGGCATTTGGCAAACGTGATTTGTTTTAGCATGCTAAGTGTCACAAAGCAAGGCCAGACACAACAGGTAAGTGCAAATCAGGATGGTTTATTGACTGGGTAAGGGGATGACTGGAATAGGTGTGTAAAGGCAGGTGAGTGTCAACACAGTGAATGGTTCCAGGGCGCTTATCTGAGTTCTGATGGTGAGGATCGGACGCCGGTTACGTTGTAGATCGTGGAACAGTTTCCAAGGAGTCGTTGGAGGATCGCGGGAGGAACAGCAGGTAATTCGTTCTAGGAGAATTTGGCAGAGAGAGTCCAGAGAAGTTCGTAGGAGTGAACGGTAGACCGGACAGTGAGTGACTGTGCTGTGTGTGTATTTGTAGTGTGGCTTGATTGGTGACAGCAGGTGCGGGTGATCAGAACTCAGGTGACTGTGATCGGGTAATTATCCTGGATGGTGACTGAAGTGACTGTGATGAATCCCTGACAGCTAAGCATCTATCCAAATAAATTTTCCACTGTAATTTTGCTGATGAAAAGGACATATAACAAGGACGTTATATTCAAATACTACAAGGCACAACTAATTTTTCCTTCCACAGAGGAAACTTCTGTGGGGTTTTACAATATAACCAAAGCCACACGTGCAAGGAAAAAAATACTTATTTTTTCCAGATGCTTTAAGAAAAGACAAACAAATCAACTGGCTTAAATGCATCTATTGATTTTTCAATGCAGTGATATTGACATATGTGACCCTGGACCACAAAACCAGTCTTAAGTCGCTGGGGTATATTTTTAGCAATAGCCAAAAAAAACATTGTATGGGTCAAATTTTTCTTTTATGCCAAAAATCATTAGAATATTAAGTAAAGATGATGTTCCATGAAGATATTTTGTAAATTTCCTACCATAAATATATAAAAACTTAATTTCTGATTAGTAATATGCATGGCCAAGAACTTCATTTGGACAACTTTAAAGGTGATTTTCTCAATATTTTTATTTTTTTGCACCCTCAGATTCCAGATATTCAAATAGTTGTATCTCGGCCAAATATTGTCCTATCCTAACAAACCATACATCAATGGAAAGC